AGAGGACGGCTTGGCTTTGCAACTGCTGATATATAGGATTAACAGGAAATTTCCCATGAGCACTGAGGATTTTTTTTTGAGGGATTAGATTCAGGAAGCATCCAGTTTACCTACCCATCTCCTCCATTTCATGTTGGAATTTATGGATTGACTTTTATTGTTTCATTAAGTCCCCTTTCTGGGCTGAGACTTCATTGCAGCTTGGCAGGAGTTGCCAATACATGCAAAGAAGAATCTTATGGTAGAACTGCCCAGAGGAGGACAGAGTGGGAAAGGCTCTGGGCCTCTTGCAGCTGTCAAGAATTTCTCTGGGTGACGTGAAGCTTTCATCTGAAGTGGAAGCTCATTTAAAGCTGTGTTTATCATCATACTTTTAGTGCCTTCTGAGTTGACCACAGTAAAATACAGACATCGTAGGGCAGCTCCAGTCATGCACTGAAGGTTGGAGTTGTGTCAAAGTAACAAGCAATTTCTGTGGAAATTAAAGCTATTTAACAATCTGATTGAACTGGAAAATGGACAAATGGACTGTGGTTGAGCAAAGAGAGTGCTAATAAGAACAAGAGCTATCACCTATCATTATTTTCATGCAAATGGTAGCTGAGTCTAGTATTCGTCCTTGTGATAGTCACTATTTGATTAGTTGCATATGGTTGCTAGTTTCCTTTAGCAATGAATAAAGTATAAGCCCCTAACAGCTCAGTTGAGCAGATTTAAATACCTTATCCTTCTTTACAGGTATAGTAGCATCCACAGCATTTGATATTCCAGATGGTTGGGACTTGCATAGATTCTCCCTTGGATTGCTGGGCTGGATAAAGCATCTTAATAGTCTTGAAGTCTTTTAATCACAAATAGAAGTTAGAAACCATGTCAGTACTGGGATTTATACTCTATGGTATACTTGGCCCACAACCAAGTGGTGGGATCAGTATGCTTTTTCTGAGTTGCTGTTCTGAAGCTGTTTGTATGCAGTGGTTTGGGTGAAGGCGAATGTGGTATCAGCTCATACCTGTTTTGCCTTTGTTGATGGGTAAATTGTATTCTGTATTTGTGTGGTCATTGCACCAGACACTGGAAGCCACTGCAGTGAGCTGTTTGCAGGCTAAGATCTGCACTTCAGTGAAAGGCAAACTAGCAGGTGAAGCGAAGCTAATCCTATCCATGAGAACAGGGCAGAGTCAGCTATGACCTGTACGGTCAGTTTGCAATAATCTTAGCAGTGATGCATACCTCCCTCATGGGTAAGATTTTTAGGGAGAATGAAATGCCATAACTGAAGGGCTCACATTTCTCTAGGATTACTGTAGGGCTTAATTAGATGAGTTAATAAAAAGACTTGCAGTTTAAATCTACCCCATGTCTATTATCCCATGACAGAGTAATGAATCAGGATGTTCTGATTATTTAGGCTAAGTAGGACTTTTCAGTCCTTTCACTGATGAACTTCATTACAAGTTCTCCGTTTCCTAGTCCACGATCTATGCTGTCATTAGTCACTTCATCATCTACCATGCCCTCTCAGTCCTAAGGAGGTTTGTGATTTAAAAAATGCTGTGCTCTTCTGGCAGTGTTTGTACCAGTGTTTGAGAGGTAAGCAGTCTCTCATGTGGCCATTATCCATCTCTTTCGACTCCGAACATCACCTTCCACCTCTACCTGTGCCCTCCGCAGTGCTGCTTTCGGACCCCATCTAGGCAGCGTTCATAATGAACAAGCCTGGTCTGGTTTTAGGGCATTCTGTCTTCCTGTGCGCTTCTCCTTCATCCTCTCGAAACAGGGGGAATGTTTGGCTTCCAGCTAACTGATATGTTACTGTTAAATATCAAGTTGTCCATCTGTAAAAAAAGCTTTCAGAAAGATTGTCTATAAACCATTCCTTTAGAGCTTCCAAACCATAAAGGGAAATACTGATCTGTAAAGCACACTTTTATCCTATTAAAATGAAAATGGTTGTGAGTGATGAGTAAGAACTCATCCTTTACTTTTTCTCCTCTAGCTTTCCACCCAAAAAGGAAGTAAAAAACCCTCTCTGTTTTCAGTTGCAATCCATTTCCTTTTGCTTAGTAATGACGGAGTAAACAGCTGAACTGAGCTGTGCTTCCCGTCTACAGATGCCCCATTGAAAAGACATGAGTAGGAGAAACCATTCAATACATGTAGGGTTGTTTTTACGTGATGAAAGGCATATTGACAGTCACTGACATTCCATTTAGACCTTTCACATATGTTGATTGAGAGACAGGTCCTCACTCATAGCTGAATGATTTGTTCAAAGATAGGAAACTAAGGCTTGAAACAGTTGATTTTGTCAAACACAGGTTACTAGTAGAGTTCTGTAAGGACATGTATGGGATGCTGGTCTGTTCAACATATAAAGTAGTGGTCTAGGAAAACAAAAAAAAGGATGCTTAGCAGGTAAGACCAATTGCAATAACGCTAGGGCTAGGTATTACTAGCATGCTGGTTACAAAGAGTTGCACCAGGAGCGTCCTGTTATGAAGCGACAGATCAGCTACCTGGCAAATGAGAGTCAGTGTACATTGCAAAATTGTTGCCCAGATACTCATTAGCAGTGTTTTGGGTGGGGCGGGGGGGGAAATCTAGTTTATTGGGATTTTGACATAGGGTAACACACAAGCAGTCAAGTCTTCCAAGCAGGATATCTCATTGCTGTCTAGATGGTTATGGAAGTCTTGTGTTCTAAGGACCCTTGCCAATGGTGTCTATGGCTGGATCAAATGAGACTCCCTGAACTGCTCTATAGCTCAGTTTTAACAATGCAGCTAGTCCATGGTCCTATATGACTGCTTCAGCATATGCATGATCAGTTGCTGCTGATTATCTTGATTTGTGTATAGAACATCTCCCATCTTAACTATGTACAAAACCACTGTCCTATGTTAGTATTTCTGCACCTACAGGAACAATTTCTACGGTGTGTTTGTAATTCTGTGTACAATTTGGTCAATTCTGGAGCAGAAACAGCCTGGGCAATCTCTAGAAAGAGCCATATTTTCTATGCAGGTTTTTAACTGACTCCTTAAAACACATGAATTGATCTACACAAAGTGGGAGCTGCCTGTGGGACTCTTAAAGACAGTCCAAAATTCCCACCTGGAGCACTCCTACACCAGTTAGTCAAATATTTAACTGCAAAGGCAGCTTGACTTCAGTCAGTCACCTTGTTCAGGTTGGTCCGTTATCTCATCTAGGCAGGTGGCTAGCTGCGGAGTAGCTAGACCACCCAGGGAATTAATAGCTAGCGTGGTGGGCGTTGCACATGGGCACAGCTGTGCTACCCAACTGCACTGCAGTTATACCCATAGGAGAAGTTTGAATTTCATGCTTGTGACATAAGTTCTGTAGTTCTTGCCACAAAGTCACGCGTGTGGGAGAACACAATTCTAGCTTGGTGTCTGCATTCCTTACAAACTCAGAAAATTGTGACATTAGTTTTAAGGTGATGTGAGCACTGAGGCTGGGAGTGCCAGAAAAGAAAACCCTACAAGTCAGAAGCGAACCCTAGAAGAGAGGAGACACGTTTGGGCTGCCTGGCCCTGCAAAAGGCTGGCACCTGGTTCAGACCAGTGGCAGTTTGTGCAGGTGGCCCAAGCGAGAGACAGACCTTCTCTTCCTGCCTCTCAAGCTCTGGCCTCAGGTGCATGTCAGTTCCTTTGCTATTTTAAAGGCTCATCAGGATAAACAAGGTCTAACTCGAGGCTAGAGCCATCCAAGAGTGCTGCAGGAGGCAGGAGAGATCGGTGTGATAGGGAAGGAACACTGTGGTGATTTCTTCTAGTAAAACAGGGATATTGTCAATGTTGGCTCCATATGCAGACTTATTTGAGAAGATGAAGTAGCAGCTTCAAACAAAAGCAGAAGCAAGCTGAATAGCAGGGGAGTTTTCTCTTGTACTAGACAAACACAGAATGTGATGCACCAGCTGGAAATTGAAGCATGACATTCAAATTATAGATAAGGTGTACATTTTTAACAATGGAATTAACCACTGGAACAACGTGCAAGATATATAAATATACACAAACACAAAGATACTCTTTTAGTTGAAAATCTTTATATCAAGATTGGAGACCTTTCTAAAAGGCATGTTCCATTTTGACTACAAATTGTTGAGCTTGGTACAGGAATTCTTTGGTTTCATTTTGTGGTTTTTTTTCTGTGTTGGATTTAGGTAGTGTTTTTATACATGTCTCTTGACATTAAATTTATGAATACTTGATGTTAGACTGATCACGGTCCTAGCTGTGTCATGTTTTTGGAGATGTTAGAAGAAGTGTGCTTATTTGGGTCACTCCCAATACTCTTTACAGTTCTGTGCTCTTCTGCCCTCCAGTTGACGGTATCTGACCAGATGCCACGGGTTGGTGTGAGAGACGGATTTTGCTGTATGGATTCTAGTGTTGCAGAATTAGTTCTTTCTAATACCCATTTCAGTCTTTTGGAAGGATGGGGTTTTTTTGAAAATACTTTCATTTTTAATGTCTGTATAGGAAATTCTGTAGTGTAGTTGAGTCCGTAATTAATTAATTATAAAAAAAAAATTAATGTCATTGTTTTCTCTGATACTCTATCTCAATCCTGTGCACGGTGCATCTCAGTCTTCAGGGTGAGGAAAGTTTATAACCGATAGTATCTTTGGGACTAAAGAGTCTCCTTCTTCTCAACACTTCTCCTCCAGAATGTTGATTTTGTTTGCTGTTTAAGACAGCTTGTTCAGTCAAGTTCTATTCTTGGAATAATACCAAAGTTAAATTTTACATGCCCTTCCTCCCAATATTTTAAATAATGCTTGTACTTATTTTATGTATTAATGCATCATTTTTCCTGAACACAAAACTGGCTAAATCGAACCCATTTATTGTAACATTTTTTCTTTTTCTTTGAAGGTATGTGAAAGAACATATACCTAACGAGATGTGAAATACTCCTTTTTATAGAAAATGAAAGGTGCTAAATATATGTTTCTGTTTTTACAGGCTAAAGCCTATCTAAAGATAGCTATGGAAATAGTAAGACGACTGCCAGTACCTCCCGCTTGAAGTGTTTATCACTGAAACTTACCAAACAAGCAATTTTTTGGCGTGACCAATGCAGAAGAGTCCTGCTACGTAATTACGTGGATGCCATATTTTAGTTCTAAGAACTTTTTAGGAGTTAATTTACCAGAGGTTAAATTATGATTGTGGTATTTACTGTTTTTCAAATCATTGTTTGGCCATGTCCAAATGGATTGAAGTATGCAAAAGATGACAGACGGTATTTAACTGCTGGATTGTAACATCATCAAGCAAGAAGAGATAAAGTATATATTTTTTTGCATGTGTCCTGTTTTAAGGTCAAGATAAACAGCTGCCCCAGCCAAGCAGAATGATGAAAGGGGTGCCAAGGCATAAGTCCTCCTTAAAAAATGACATTTGCCATACTCTGATTTCTGTCAATTTTGGTTCAACTTTTTACTTGGTTAACTACCAAGCTCACCTTAAGTGCTGCAAAATTTTAAGAAGCAAATTCAGTTATGTAACTGCAATACTTTTGTGTGTTCATCTTAAAATAAAAAAAATTCCACATATACTCTGAAGAGTTCTTGTGATGGATTATTGGATAATGTTTGATCATGAGGCGATTCACAGTTTAATGGAGAATGGATTACATGACCCTGAGGCTTATTTCTTGGCTGCTTTGCATTATAATGGACCCAGACAGAAGACTAGGTAACCAAGGTCTTCACTGAAAACCACATGGTGTGCCTGAGCTCAGTTTGCCAGGGGATGCAAATGATCAAGATAAATTAAATTTATGATTGTATATTCCTATTGCAGTGCAGCAACTTGGAATTTGAATATAAAGATGTATTTCTGAAGTAAAGAAAAATTTGGTCTTCAAACTGCGTGGCCTTCTGGTTTGTTTTTTCATTGCCTTACATTTTTGCGATCTTTATTTTTGTGTTGGTGTGTGGAAGTGGAATAATATGCCTTTAGGGAATGAGTTTCCATTTACAATTAGATGTTTGAGTTGACATTTAGGCTTTTTCATTTACACAATCAAGTATGGCTATCTTAAATGTACATCTTAACCATACAGTATTGGGAATTTAACCATACCAGAGACTTCTGCTGTTGACCTCTGTGGGACAAGATTTTCCCTGTAGTCCAAATAATTATTCATAATTTTGGATGTTATTGGCTTTTTATATTGAGGTGATAAAACATAAAAAGTTGGTATATATTTACATATTTATATTTTATATTTAAGTAATATGTACCCAGAATTTATATGGGAAAGCTAGACACAAATTATGGGTTGAATTTCAAGCTTAGGTGATTTTGTAAACATGTAAACTATATAGTCCAAAACTGTTGATTTTTTGCTTCAAGACTATGTCTAAACCTCCTCGCCTGCACCCTCCCCCATGAGACCTCATATCATTGTTCAGCTTATTCAGTAGCATATTATCCCAGGCCTGTAGAATTGCCACAAATATTCACTTCCTTTCAGTTGTCTAATATATTCTACAAAAATGAAAGCTGGCTTAGTGTTCTGCCCTTTCTTATTGTATTGATAATGTATGTGTTTTTTTATGTGAGTTTTATCTCTACACATATTATTTATTAACTTCTGCTTTACATACTGTAATTGTTGATATGTATGTCTATAAGTAATCCTGTGGTTATTTTGGCATAGTATAATCATAAATTTCATAGGAAAAACTGTGATTTCTGACTTTTTTAGCAAAAGACTGCGATGCTTTCTGAATTTTGGTATTTATTATTTTTATTCTGTCAAAAAGAATGTACCTGACACCCAGTTCATGTTGAGACTGGGTGAACAATCAGTATACAGATATAAGGTTGGTTGTTTTCTGTTCCTTTTCTTTCTCATTATTTCTTGGGTTAGTTGAGGGATGAAACTTGCTTTCAAATGTCCTTTTATTTTTACTCCTTTTTACATATTTTTTTTCCTTTTAATTAAGTACTGCGGTTTTGCTCTGTTGAATCTTTCACCTGCAGAACTATTTTTGAATGCCTTTATCAAGAAGCTGGTTATAATGATTAAATATAGTTTCTAAGCCAATCTGAAAATTCATACTTAATTAACATTTTTGTGGAAGGATTACACAATGTAGTAGGTGAGACCTGATTTATTGATTAAAAATTGTCAGTCATTTAAAATATATATATATGTAATTGTACACAGTAGGAAGGACTTTTCTGCATTTAAGGACAGCAATGGTTAAACCAAATTTAAAATGAGAAGGTATTTGCTTTACTTTCCTCATTCTTGAGTGAAAAAGTATCTGCTTCCCAGCCCTTCTCCTGCAAAGGCAGTGAAGGGCACTGACAGAGTGTTATTGCTACTTAATGTTGTAGAAACACATACTCATATTTTTTTTTATTCTACACTACACTGTTAAATACATATTTATGAATTCTAGTCAACATACTAGATTTGAAATCGTAGTTCATAAAACCCGTGGTAAAAGTTATTGGACTGGGGGTGGTGGTGGTTGGATCAGTCAGAGGTTGAGCAGGAGACAGTGGCATTTAACCATAGTTTATAAATACAGGTTATAGACTTGACACACAGGGTTGTTTGCTCTTTTCAGCTCCAGTATTTTACTTTCATCTCTGTGATATTTCCTAGTGTACTAGTATTTTTTTTCTAAAAATGCTAATCCTAACAATAGGACCTGGCTTTCCTGAGCTGTATGGGTAGATGCCCTTTGCTCAGGAGCAATGGAGACTTACTGCAAAATTACTGTGATTGTGGGTTACCAGCACAGAATTATTAACGTTTGTAGCAGTGTAAGCTGCAGATACATGCTGCAAAATCCTACAGAGGAAGAGAAAGAGGAAGGCTGGGAAGGCACAGAGCCAAGCAGGCAGTAGTGGGTACAGAGGCAAATGTCAGTCCCAGGTTACCTCCTGTGTAGGTTAAGAGCAAGATTCCCAAGATCGCCTTGCATCACTCTTAGAGTTATTTTGGCTTTCACGATACGGCCCTTTGTATAGTGACCACAGTTCTTGTGTTTGCAGGTAGTTCCTGTTGTTTCTTGGGTGAGTAGCGTATGGGCTGTGTCTTAACACGGTGCATTTCCTGGCTTTCACAAGTTTCGGGTTTGATGAAAATGAAGCTGAAAGAGGATATAGAATTGTTTGTGGCAGTGAAGTATTTTGCTATCAAATTTTTACTGCTACGTTCAGGTCATTGTGAACTGTTCAGCCTTTGAGACTATGGTTTGTGCAATCCTTCAGATGTTAAATTTCTCACAACAGCAGCAAAATTTTTAATTATTTGTAGCAATGAAAGTAGTTTGCAAATCAGTTTTTCTCTACCATTTCAATTTGAGTTTAAGCTACAGCCCATTTTAGTTGCTCTGATTGGTGATCATGGTGATGAAATAACATTAATGCAGAGAAAAAATGGCAGAAGCAGGTCATCTTCAATATATTAACAACCCCCTCCTGTTGGGTTCAACACAGCACATGAATCCCCCCCATAATATCTTTCCCCTAGTAAGAATATGGTTTCCACCTGGACCTACTCAAACTCCCTGCTGGGTTCTTCCCACTTGTGGTGCGGTTAGTGCTGATTAGAGCAGGCTTTGATCCGAGGCAGGTGCTGCATACTGGTTTGTTGGTAAACTTTGTTCAGGCTAGTATTGGGCCCCCTGATATAAACCAAAGGCTGCAATCAAGGGGGGGGAAAAGGGAGCAAAGAAGAGGTGAATCTCATGCCAGTAGGAAATCTCCAGGTTCCCAGAGACACTGCTGTAATAATACTGGGTTTGCAGGTGCAAGAATATATGTGGGAGAATAAAAGCAGGAGAGCAAGAAGAAAGGAAAACCCTTCTGTTGATCAGGTGAAAGATTAAAGAGCTGTGAGAGGCTCTGTGGGCTACAGAACTGATTTGCAGATGCTAAGGCACCAAAGATGCTGTGTGACAATATAAAGGGGATTTTGGTACTTAACTTAAGCTGTGCAAAGCTTCTATCAGAGCATCCCCAACCCCGAGACTGGCACACGAGTTCCATACCCGAGTACCCAAGGTGCAGGGACTGCGCCCGTCCTTCCAGATGTCATTGGTGGGCGTAGGATCTCCATGCTTCCTTTTCCACAAGGTTTGCAGTATTTGCCCAAGGTGCAAGAGACTTGTTCTACGCCTGGCATTGGCTGAGAAGATTCAAATCCATAGCTCCTAAACTTAGGAGAGGTCCTCAGCCCCTGGCTTAGTCTTTGCTAAGGACCGTCAATGAGCATTCATCGCTTCTTCTGATAAAGCTGTATCGCTTGTGGAAGAAATAAGGAACATTGTGGTACTGTGTCTCTTGTGGAGGAAATAAGGAATATTGTGGTAATCACAGCTAATTATTTTTTAGCCTACTGACTTGGGCTGGACTTTGATCCTTGCTCCCAGCTTTATTGGAGATTTTTACCTAACGAGTCAGTGAATAAAATGATCAATTCTTAGGGTAATGTCTGGCATTGTAGCTGCTTGCAGCCTTGAGAAAAGGCTGGGAGGTTCTGCGTTTGGATTTTGATACCCATGTATTATTTTAGTTTCTCATGGCCGCATCTGGGCCTATATTGCTGTCATCAGTCTTACTTAACGGGAATGCTTCCTAGCAGAGATGGTTAGGTGGAAAGGCTCCTGCTTAAGGATGCTTGACAATAAGATGGATCTAAATTGCTGATTTAATTTCAGAATTGATTTATAATGGCAGTTATAATGATGATTATATTTTATTTTGGCAGCATATCAGCCAATGCACCGGTATGTCAGCCACATATCACAAAAGCACAGCAAAAGAAAAAATTCATTCTGAAAGTAGTTTTCAGACTAAATTTAAGACTTACCTTTTTTTTTGTGCATTCTTTTACATTATACAGATATTAAATCTGAAGAAAAGGTATATTCAAAGGTCTGTATTTTTCCATTATCTTCACATATTCAGGGAGGCTTTTTTTTTTTCCCCCGGCAACAAGAGGACAGGCACAGCTTGTCATTCCTTATGCACCTATTCCTCTCAGTTTCTCCATTTGCATGAGTCTGGATCTGAATACTGACTTTAATCAATGCAAATAAATGACTTCTCCTAGGGAGTACGTGAGTCTTCAAATGAGCTAGTGGGGGGAAGAACATCTGTTGTCCTTCAACATCGTTTTGAGGGCTTACAGATTTATTTGAAGTGTTTTCACTCACACCACTGGGATTTTCTAAAAGTTGTGTTATTTCCTGTGGTCCAGAGGTTTTGTCTTTCCTATGAGAGAAAGGCAGGAGACTCCCCACACTTGCCTCCCTTAGGTATGCTTCCTGTTACTAAGCGAGGTCTGTTTTAAGAATACAAACTTCTGGTTACTTTTTCTGAAAAGTGTTAGCTTACTTGTAATGACTTTCTAATGGTACTTAGGAGTACTTTTTTACTTTCAGGGATTTTTTTTTTATTTTTTCAAATTAAGCTTGAAGAAATACTCTAATGTATTTTTAAAGCCCAGTTTGGCTGCATATCTGGGAGAAATGAACAGGGTGAGAAACTATCTTATTAAGCCAAGCCCGTATTCTCTAGATTTAATTTTGGAGTGTTCCTTCAGTG